TCCTAGCAGTAAGGTTGTTCTGTAGTACAATGATGGAGGGTGACATTCACACTGTGCTAGATTTTATTACTCTCGTGGCAACGGCGTGGGTCATATATATGATACGGTTTAAATTGAAGTCTACCTACATCAAGGAACTGGACAATTTTCGCTTATATTACCTGGTAAAGATCTTCGACCTCCCTTTAAATTATGTGTTTGTGTGCACGAGTAAATGTATGTATTATTTAGTGTATACGTGTGTAACTGGGAACCATTTGAGGAATTTATACATATGTATAAATATTACATGTGTATACGGTCTGTATGCCGGTTCATCTGACAAACCGGTTCATCTGACCCGAACGCTTTGTCAAATACGTGGAAAATCATTTGAAGAATGTATTCAAAGACCAGAACTATTTAATTGGAGATTATAAATTTTAGGCGAGGCTGCATTTGTCATATTGTCAGTTAGGATGCTACTGTTAACAGTAAATTTGAAGGGAAGAATTCTATTAAACATTGAAAATTGCTTATGCTTTGTAATTTCTTTCTCCATTGTGCATCTCCATAGCATGATTTTCAATTGCCAGTTGTTATAAAACCAAATGGCAGACAAGATCGAATCACAGAGGTAACGAAAAATTTGCTTTCGATTTGAGAAGATTTGGAGCTACTTCCATATGCATGTGTTACTTAGACTATGGCCAGCCTCAAACCATTACTATATTGAAACAGGCACTGATCTTGAATGAACATGTTTACTCTGCTTGAAGTAGAGAACTAAAAACTGATATTGTAGCTTTAGAAAAGGTACAAGAAAATTAACATTTGTTTTGCCCATAAACCACAATGCAGGTGGTGCCTTCTGCTGTCCTTGGTGTGCTCGTCCACCCCTACACACTAAATTATCGCTTCTGTCGAATCCTTTGGGCATTTGGTGCAAACATGGAGGCTGTTTCAGTTCTGCCTCAACTTCGGTTGATGCAGAATGCAAAGGTTCAGTTTACATCAGATTAAAACTATCTATCATCCGTTTTACCAACTGTCTGGACGTTATTTTGATCTTTGTTTTCATCTTATCATGCTTGTTTTCAGATGATTGAACCATTTACCTCCCATTATGTATTCGCATTGGGGATTTCAAGATTTTTCGCTTGTGCTCATTGGATTATTCAGGTTTGTCATGACTACAAAAATTAGAATTCCATATGAAGTTTTGCAATTAGACATGTATCAGACTAAATGCAACATTTTGCAATTTACGTGCAGATCTATGAGACTAACGGGACATATATATACTACATTGGGAGTGGATATTTCTGGCTTTTGTCAGCTTTCCTCAGTGAGATGGTTCAAACATTCATCTTAGCTGACTTTTGTTACTACTACATAAAGAGGTAAGCCCCGTGGAAAATCTTGCATACAACCTCTCTCGAAGCGTTTATATATACAACGGTTGCATACAATAAATTTTCGTGAACCATGCCCCTCGTGCCACACTCTAATGACTAATCTCAGGTGCCCTGAACCCTCCTAACACAGTATTTTCTGTTTTGCAGTAAAATGGCAGGGCAGCTGATAATGAGGATGCCTCCTGTCTAGAGCTGCAGGGCTTAATGATGTACTGCCCTTCTTTCTCTGAGCAAAATATACAAGCATCTTGTGACATGGGGTTGGAAGTACATGAGTAAATGTGTTACTCTCGTTTCTTTTTCTTTATGCCATAGTACGACTGTGAATTTTTTTGTAGTCAATAATTGAATTCGGATGATGCAAAAATACTAAAATGTAAAGACTGTGAGACCAAATTTTTGGTGTTTTGTCGAATTTTACCTTGTCAACTCAAAATTTGAGGAACTTTCCTATTGTGCGGATTCATAACGTAGGCGAATGCACTGCACCTATTAAAGCCACATGTGCACCCTTCACTAATAAGGTATAGATTAATCACAATTCATTAAGGTGACCGATTCACTCATCGCTAATAAGGTATAGCTTAATCACAATCCATAGGATTATGTTTTCAATAAGTAGCTGATAAAGTCACGAGTTGACTTTTCATTCGTAAATTATAGATTTATCACAATTCATTGAATTACATTCTCACCTTTCATTCGTAAATTATAGATTTATCACAATTCATTGAATTACATTCTCAAGTCGATAGAGGAATTCAAACTAAAAGTGCACTCTAATTTCAGAATTATCAACTGGGTGCAAAATGTTTATGTTGGCCCAAATTGTCAACATGAACGGACCTTAAGAGGGGCAACCTGGACTGTAGCCCAGATGACTTGTATGTTTTTAAGCCCAAACTAAAACATTAGCCCACCCAAGTATAGTTTTTCCACACTTTACGCATCCCCTCCTTCCTTTTTGTTTGTTTGTTCCGTAACTTCCGTTGCAATAGCCATACATTTCCTTCAGTTGTATTTCTTTCTTTAAGGGCAAAATAAAATATCATCACGCCCAAGTCCCTCACCACTTACGCATAAATAAACCCCTTCTTCCCTTTTTTGTTTGATTTTGCAATAGCCAACCCTTTCATGTACATATAGAATTAGGAGTATATATTCTCTTTAGGACTACGTCAACTAAAAGTAAATGAATATCCATCTTGTTTTCAAATAAAACGTCAATTTATTTGTCGTCTTTTTAGTTTTACTAGTTCCTATATGTAATTCTCATTATGTTATTTTGTTTTATTAATAAAATTCATTTGTACCGTCAAATTTTGTATCTTCTTAATATATATATATATATAGTCTCCTTAAATAATTTTATTTGAGGAACGTCCTTTAGGGTACCTTATAAATTTTTTTCTAATGATTCAAACCATTTATTTTTTAGGTCTTCATTCATAGATCATCCTTACAAAAAATTAGATAAATTAGAAACCGTTTCGACATACAATTGTGTCATACAAAATTAATGAACACGGTGCTTCAAGAAAGTACCAAAATTTCAATAACTCAATTGAATGGTCAAATGATATCGGATTCAAGTGATTTTTTGTAGAGATAATCTTTGAATATGTATCTACAAAATAGACGGTTTGGATTAGTGAAATACAATCCAGAATGAGCCCTATAAGAGATATCCCTCAAATAAGTTTATTTAAAGGATCTTTCAATGGAATATATATACACATAAGATAAATTTTGACCACTTCATTTTTAAATTCTGAATCCGTCCCTAATTGTCGACAAATAGGGTCAAGGTACAAAGACAAACCAATGCACAGCGACACGTGGTAACCATGCATAATACAAGTAACTGCAATGCTCGGTCATACGAATTTCAAACCCGGTCTATGCGCCACATACCCTATCTCTCTACTTTTTTGAACAAACTCATCTCCCAACAACGCGCCACGTGTCAACTACCGTATAAATACAACCAATCTCACCCATTCCCCTTTCACCACGTTTCCGCATCACCGAATCTGAGCAACACCTCGACACGTCAACTTCACTCTCCGTAAAAGGTGCAGACCAGCTTGACCCTGCCGAGCTGCGACTCTCAACATGCGCGCCACGTTTCAGTCTCAATCCCATCCTCATGGGATGCGGGCCCCGCGTTTTGCCGAAGTGGAACACGTGGCGGTTGTGGACGATGCCACGTAGCACTACTGTCATGGGGATTCATGGAGTGAAAAGGACGGTAGAGATTCGCGGGGTGACAGCAAGATCTCGCACCACGCGTCCGTACGCATGTGCCAGGCCGTCAGAGCCCCAGAGCTCTCCGCCTATCCGTTGTTTATTTACGGATGCCAGGCGGGGACACGTGTCCGATTCTAAGCTCTCCATGCACGTGTGCCACATGGCGCGCCCTGAACCTGCGAGCGTGCTCCGTGGGCTCAAAGAAATCTCCCTTTAACACTTGAGAAGAGTTTGTTTCCCGCTAAATTAACCCTTAAACAGGCGATTTTCGATTATTTTAACCAGCGGTTAATTAGGATTAGTGGCGAAGAGTTTTGCTAATCCCGTCCGCTAAAAATATATCCGAAAATATCCTACGTGTTTACCCACCTTCTCTGTCGTCTTCTACTCTTCCGCCACGTGGCGCCCTCCCTCGCTTCCCTCCCCAGCTATTTCCTTACCTTTTTCTCTCCTCGGAAAATCTGAGAGCAAACCCTAATGTGAATTTCAAAACAGAGAGAGAGAGAGAGAGGAACTTTCTTCATATAACTACGAAGCTCCAGCTGCAAACTTGAAGTTTTCTTTTTTCAGTTTGAGGCTCTTTGATACGTTGAAAATTTAAGCTTTACGGCAATGGTGGAGGTTTCGGAGCCCGGATTGAAAGAGGAGGAGATTGAGCTCGATTTAGGGTTGTCAATCGGAGGCAGTTTCAGAAAACCAGAGAAATTGCAGCTCGTCAACGGCTTCGGCTTGGATCGGAGAGAAAAGGAAAACCAAACGGCGTCGTCGGAGCCGGAGAGCGCGCTTCTTGATTCGCAGACGAAGCGGGAGATCCAGGCTCTGCGGAGGCAAGAGGCGAAGAGGAAGCGCGAAGAGAAGAGAAGCCGAGGAAGAAACGAGGCCCAAACAGAAGAACAACAACAGCAACCGGCGATCAAGAGAGAGAGAACAGAGACGAATGTGAATGTGAACGTCAATCTGAATATGAATAACGGCGAAACGGAGCCCCGCTACCCGGTTCAACCGGCTCAGTACCCGTACCCGCCGGTGCAGTTCGTTCCATACACGAACGGCTTCGCCTACCCTTGCGCGATGCCGTGCTGGGCTCCCAGCGGCGGCGGCGGTTTCAGGCCGTTTCAGGCGCATAAAAATTTGGCGAATAACTGGTGCGAAACGGAGCAGAATGGTGGAGTTGGTAAAACGACGTCGTCGAATGGCGGATTGGGTAAAACGGGGTCGTTGAATGGGTCCCCAATGTGTAGCTCCTCTACCGTTTCTGATCATCAAAGCGCAGTTTCTCATGAGGGTACTGTATACATACTCTAAATTTTGCATATCCTTTGTTTCTTCTTTTGTTTAAAACAAAAAAAACAAAAACAAAAACAAAAAAAAAATCTGCCCAAATAGAATTTGGTTTTGATTTTTTGGGTTTCAAAATCTTATAGGTGGTGGAAGCAGTGAGACCAGAAGCCATTCAGGCCAGAGCTTACCAGAAAAAACCCATTTGAACAATGGTTCAATATCAAAAGAGACCAAGGCCCAATCTGAACACACAGCTACCTCCAACTCATTTAAATCAAATTCTCAAGGCAATGATCAAAAACTTGCTCCCAAAGAAGAACCCAAATCAGAAAACACAGAGCCAGTTTCAATCCCCAAACCCATCTCATCAAATGGAGATTCTGCAACGCCAACAAGTACTCCATTGAAGGAAATTACCAAAATGGACACCGTTGCAAAGCCCCCAAAACCCCAAATGCAGACCAGTTCTCTTCCCCAAATGCCTTATGTCTCCACCACGGGGAATGGCCCAAATGGGAAAACAATTCATGGGTTCTTGTACAGCTACACAAAATCTGAGATCAGCATTGTCTGTGTCTGCCATGGAAGCACATTCTCACCAGCTGAATTTGTGCAGCATGCTGGAGGCACTGATGTATCTCAGCCTCTGAGACACATAACTGTGATCCCATCTGCTTTTGGTTGATGAGAGCTGAATCTATCAGCTGATATGGAAACTGACCCTTTTTCATTTCTGGTCGTCTTTATCTTAATTTGCTAGCTTTTAGCTTTTAGCTTTTAGCTTTTAGTTTTTGCTTTTTAATTGCAGCTGATGAGAGTTACTTTGGTGGGAATTTGCATACATGTTGTATGCAGAAGGAGATGGATAGATTGATGGGAGGCAGGCTATACCAAAACCTCAGTTTACATGAGTTCTTGGCTGGAAATTAATGGGACAGACAGAGGCTTATTTTTCGCATTTTTTTTATTTTTTTTATTTTTTAAAAAATTTTGTGTGTATAAAGTTTTCCTAAATGTGATTGGCGTACAGTTAGCCTTTTAGATCTAATATTCTTGTATATAAATCTGATATCCTCCTTTTTTTCAATATTTTGTTTAACATACTTCCTACAAATTCATCCCAGCTATTTCAAATTCTTAGAGCATCAACAATGGACTCCCTAAACCACCTTTTTAGACAAATTTTAGGGAGTAATCGTAAAAATGCAACTCCAATCACGCTCCATATTGACCTCCTAAAATAGGGAGTCTTCTAGGAGCTCCTAAATCTGAGGAGAGAGAAATGACTCATAGTGGCTCCCTATAATTTAATGCTGTTTTATTTAATGAGTATTTCAAACTTATATTTAATGTGTTAATTATTTTTTATTTTATTTTTTAATAGAAATGGACCAATAAAAAAAGAGTTATCGTATTTATGACTCTCCAAATTAGGGAGTATGGTCGGAGTTAAATTTTTTTAGAGAGCTCCTAAAATAGCTTTCTTATATTCTTAGTCAAATTTTAACTAAGAAATAGAGAACATCATTTTGGATGCTCTTAAGGTGGTGGGAGAACTTCAGCTTGGTTACCTTCTAGTTGATCAAATTCCTAATTTAGGGATAATTTCTTTTCCTCTCATACATATTTTGATAAATAAACATGTCATTAATAAGAAATTTGTTTATTTTTTTTTTCGGTTACCCTTTATTTTCTCTCTAATTAATCCCGAAACATAGAATAGCCCAGGATCAATGTGGGCACAGCCCAATGAAGGACGAGTGGGTCTACAGGTAGTCATCGGCTTGGCCCAATTTACCAGCCCCCACAAGGCATGGGCAGCCGAGCACTAAACAATTGCTCAACATACTCAACAAACACTCAAGTTTTATTTTCCCCAAAAACTTTCCATTTTACCCATCCCATGGGTGTGCCGAGCGGCAAATTGAGCTATACTCTTCAATTTGCACGAGACTATGAAGCAATGAATACCCAATAAAAAAAAATAAAGAAACTTGGCTCTAAATTTACATTTAAAATACCTTTTTTTTTTTTTTTTTTTTTTTTTTTGTGACCATCTAAGTTTGAAGTAATAGGCAAATGTGGTGTAACCTAGTGGAAACGGGCGTTAACTTGCAGACCAATAGTTTTATGTTTAAACATCTATGATACTTTGGTAATGCTTGTGTGAACCTCTATGACACTTTAGTTGTGTGTATAGGGCTGGGCATTCAAGTCGGTAATTTGGTCAAATTGCCCAAACCAAACCGATGGTTTGAGTTGGTTTTTCTTTTTCAATTTTTTTTTTGTTTGTCATCAAACCAAAATATATGGTTCAGTGTATGGTTTGTAACATTCAAAACCATGGTTTAACCAAACCAAACCGATTGTATTAAAAAATATATATATAATACATAATTTCAATCTTTTCTTTTTCTTCTCTCTCCATCAGTCTCTCTCTCTCTCTCTCTCTCTCTCTCTCTCTCTCTCTCAGAAAGTCAAAAAAACCCAAATCGAACCGAACCAACCCACCAAGTCCAGTTAATCGATGTGGTCAGTTTTCATCAATTATGGTTTGGTTTCGGTTTCCAAAATAGCCAAACCGAGGCTTACGATTCGGTATTCGGGTTGGGCCCAAAACCAAACTAACCCTGACCTAGCCCACCCCTAGATATGTATGTAAGAAACTCAACTCCCCTTATAATTTAGACTACCGTTTGAATAATAAAAAATGAAGTAATAGATCCTTTTAATAAAAAATACATTACTTGCATCTTCAAAATAAGCCACATACTTTAAAAAATGACTCATTTAACATCTATTGCTATCATGAATCACATGCGCAACTAAATAATCATACATTTAATGCACTAATGTTTCATCATTTTGAAACCATGAGGTTTGCTTTGAAGTACCCTAACTAGTTTATAACTTACAACAATAATCATCATAATCTATATTAAACAATTGCACCTAAGTAAATGTGGGTTATACCAATTAGTCAATATATATTCGCCTCATTGCACTTGGGTTCAACCCCCCTCTTTGTACGCTGTTTTAAAAAAAAAAATCACTTAAGACTTCACATATTTTTTATTTTTTGTCCTCGTTTTTTTTTTTTGAAGGGGGGTTTGCTACACTTTTTGTCATTGGTTGTGGACTAAAGGACATTGCTAAACTGTTTATTATTTTTTAATTCCAAGATAGAGGAAGTTTAATTAGAAACAGAATAAAGAAATCGCATTACGGGTCACAACAAATAAAATAAAATAAAATTTTCATTTTCCCTTTCTCGAATATAAATACCCAAAACCCTTTTTACTTCCTCTCTCCCCTCCCTCTCCCTCCTCCTATACCTCTCTCGCGCCTCTTGAAGATCCACCAAAACCCTAGAAACCGCCAAACCTCACTAAGGAGGTGAGAGAAGTCGTACAGCACCACGGACCTTTTCCTCTTCTCTCACCTCTCTCCCTCCGATCCACGCTCAGGTAACCTTCTCGCTCTTCAAATCTCATACATTACCTCTGCTTTTCATATTCTAAGTTTTTTGTTTTGTTTGTTATTTAAGCCTGCTTTAGATCTCGGTTTGTTTCATAGAAGTGTAAAATTGCCTTCTTTAGTTTGCAGTGAACTGATTTAAGTTTGAAGAGTCTTTTTTCTTTCTTAGAATCTTTTTTGTGTATGAAATTAAGCTGAATTTCAGTTAGTGGATAGTTTGAGGCATGTTTCCTGATGAGATTCGAGAACAACATTTATTTTGAAAGTATGTATATAAATAGCGCGAGGAAATTATTATTATTTATTTTGTTGTGGAAAGGATTGTAATGTGTCTTCAGTTAACTGGAGAAAAAACTTTTCAAATCTCTAATTGAAAGAATTGGAGTAGTATTGAAATGTGGTATTTTTAAAATAAAAAGGCAAAAAAGAAATGCAGTATTCTTCAATATACGTTTTAGTGAAATCATCTGTATCAGTTTTTTTGGTTGAATGTGTAATGATGTTGTTTGGTTTCTGGAGGTTGATCAGAGATGACGACTCCGGTGCAGCAAGCCCCAGCTTCAAATCTCCCTCCTAGTGCCGATGTTGTATGTATTGATACCTGAACAGTAGTTGATGATTTACTACACTATTGATCCTGATGGTTGCTAACGGATTTGGAATGATTTTTTGTTGTTGTTAAATATAGGTCGGCAATGCATTTGTTCTTCAGTACTACAATATCTTGGAACAATCCCCTCAGCTTGTTCATCGATTTTACCAGGATATTAGTAAGCTTGGTCGTCCTGGAGACGATGGGATCATGAGCATTACAACCACGATGGATGTAAGCTCCTTCCGAGACCCAACTTTCTTTATCGTTATATTAATGCATCTGCATGTTCATGCCAGATCATATTCATAATTGTTATTAAATCAACTTATTTGGTGCCTAGATGCCTATGTTTAGGAGTATTGTTAAATTTTGGTTATATATATTATCTCCAGAAGCTTAGAAAGTATAAGAAAAACATAAAAATTATGTTGCACTGGATATAGAGGCATTACAAGTTAAATAATATAAGAATTGTACATTTTTCTCAGCAACTAAATATAGAAATATGAAGTTATGAATCACAGATGGAATTGATGAAAATTGTGAAAGTAATAATTCCTTTGGATTTGTTTATTATATTTTACTGGGCAGGCAATCAACAAGAAGATACTTGATTATGGAGAGCTCAGCGCAAATATCGTAACAGTGGATGCTCAAGAATCTTACAATGGGGGAGTATTTGTCCTTGTCACTGGGTTTTTAACTGGAAAGGACAATATAAGGAAGAAATTTACTCAAAGTTTTTTCTTGGCACCACAAGACGTAGGCTACTTTGTTTTGAACGATGTTTTTAGATATGTTGATGATTCCACCCCTCAAAACGGGGACAATGGATTGGTTGTTGATGCTGCTGTTGAAGCTCCTCTTACTCCCAAGCATGGTATACATGATTCTTATTTAAATGTTAAAGTGTGTACTTTTGTTAGCTCTAATTGAGTTTGATTCTTGTTGTAGATACTACCGCTTTGCAGGTCTATCATGTCTCAGAGCCTGTGGTTGTAGTTTCTGAGGATGTTGCCAAGGAGGAAGTATACAATCCCACTGAAAATGGAGAAGTTTCAATCGAAGAAGAAGAAGCACCAGTACCGGAGGTTGTCAATGAAATTCCTGATGATTCACAGGTGGTGGCTGAATCTTACTCTATTGTCGAAGCTAAATCCAACTCCAAAGTTGAAGCTGAATCCAACTCCAAAGTCGAAGCTGAGTCCAACTCCAAAGTTGAAGCTGAATCTAACTCTAAAGTTGAAGTCCCGAAGAAGTCATATGCCTCAATCGTAAGTAGCTGTTTTACTATCTCTCGTGCCTCTAAATATTTTCAGATTTGTAATTATTGTGTAATTGGTTGCAGTACTACATTTCTCATTAACTTAGTAACGCAATTTGTGCAAAAGAATCTCACTTTTCCTCTTTCTTTGTTGTTGTCCACACCTGATTCTGGGGCTTAAATCACTTGTTCCAGCTTAAGATTATGAAGGAGAGTACTGTGCCATTTTCTACTCCAGCACCTGCTTCTGTGAGGTCTGTCCCAAAGAAGCAAGAGCAGCAAGTGACTGCTGCTCCAACATCCGTTCCAGTTTCGGAAACGGTAGTTTCCAGCACAAATGCACGAGAAAATGGGAATCTAGAGGCCGAAGGTATGCAGTTCATTATACCGCTATTTAATTTATTCTCTGTTTCTTATCCTCCTATACGTTTGCATAGTAAATTTGGTTTCATGTAAACAGCTGAAGGTCACTCTATCTACATTAAAGGTCTGCCAATGAATTCTACAAATGCTCTTATTGAGAATGAGTTTAAGAAATTTGGACTGATCAAACAGAATGGTGTGCAAGTTAGAAGCCAAAAGGTTTGTCTTGAGTTTCTCTATCTTTGATGTTCGCAATTCTTCTGTGAAAGTACTTATTGTTCCTCCATCATTTCACAGGGCTTTTGTTTTGGCTTTGTGGAATATGAGGCTGCAAGTTCTGTACACAGTGCAATGGAGGTATTTAGCAGACATTGTTGCACAACTTATTTTTTTCATGATCCATTATATTGGATGTTTGAATAGATTTATGTATGTCTATTTGTTTGAACCCTATGAATGAGTTTTTAACACAAGGAAAGTGGTGTTTTAGTTCGTTGCCTGTTTCTTCATTGCTGCACTATGTTTTTTCACGCCCCGTTATCTTGGATGTTTGAACAGATTTATGGTTCTGTTTATTTGTTTGAACCCAATAAAGAGTTGTTAACATAATTGCTTTTTAATTTATTGCTTGTTTATTCTTTTATTGATAAAAACGAAAGAGTCCATTTGATATTCTACTCCTTTGATTTTACAAGTCTTTATGTTCTTATATTTTTTTCATGTGTTTGTGCTGTTAATATTTTTCTATTGGTGTTGTAGGCTTCACCCATCATGATTGGCAACCGCCAAATTTTTGTTGAGGAAAAGAGATCTACTCGAGGTGAGTTGTGAACGTTGTGTTCAAAATGGAGATTGCACATTTGTACCCTCCTTGATTCTAATTATTTTACAACAATTTTTTGCTTGTCCATTTCTATATGTAGGGAACAACAGGGGACGGTTTTCATCTGGAAGGGGCAACGGCAATGGATACCGGACTGAAGGTGGCAATGGTTACAGGACCGAAGGAGCAAGAGGACGTGGAGGCTATGGAGGTGGTAGAGCTTATGGACGTGGTGATTCCGGTTTCAAGTCTGAATTTGGAAGTAGGAGTAGCAATAGGGGAGGAGCACCGAGTCGTGGAGCTGATGGATATCAGAGGTCTGATCATGGTGGTCGTGTGAATCGTCCTGCCGGGGTGGCTGTTAATACAGCGGCCAAGAGTACAGCACCACAAGTGTCTGCCTCAGCCTGAGAAAGGCCAGGCTTCGAAGAGGTTCATTGGTGAATGAAGACAAATTAAAAATTTTTCAAGTGACCATGGTGTAATTGTCGGATAGCATGAAGAGGGCTGTTTATGATCTGTTTGTGGATGAACCACCTAGGAATTCCCATAGGATTTTTTTCCTTTTTGACTTTTTATTTTCTTTCGGCTTTAATTTTGGAGTTATTTTGGGGTTGATAGTGGTGGTAGAATTATGCTTTGGTATATGTTTCTCGATAAACTACTTGTAGTAGCGCCATCGCGCTGTTTATGTGGAAGGAAATTGGGAAAATGAATTAGGATTTAGGGTTTTTGATGTGTTGTAATGGATGTTTCGTGTTGGTTGTAGGTTTCCCTGATTAATGTGGGCTAATGTTTTGCGGATGGTTTGATCCATTGTTTACTTGATTTTGTGCATCGGTACAAACTCGACCCTAGTTCTTTTTGTTTTCATAAGTTAATAAAACCATTTCATATTAGGAATTCATCAATTAAATTTTATCTATTCCATTTGAACTCAGTCTGAAAGTAAACTTTTTTTTATTAAATTAATATACTTAAAAGACTGCAAAATGTTGCAATCAACTGAAATTTTTCATTCTTTTTAGTCAATTCAAAACTTACGACCTAGTCCAACCGGCGTCCAACTCTGGCCGGCTATCCACATCCTCCGGGGACCGCGTCAAACCCCCAATTGTACATGATCAGTAGCCAAGTATCAAACCTTATAATATTTGTACGGAGGAAGTAAATAAGCATCCGCCATTACTTTTCTTTTTCGAAATCTATCACACTTGAGATATTTGGCGTATTTTCCAAAACCAAAAGGGGATTCTTTTAATTTCACTGAACTTCGGGCTTGAGGAAAACACGATAGTAGTATACAATCTTCTCATATCAGAGCCCTCCAAGGCATTGTTCTGATATTGGAGAGATAGGCTTGAAAATAGGGCAGGTTATACGAAGATTGCTACATTCTTCAGGGTCCAATAGCAGCTAGCTAAAGGCAATTTACTGTAGATATATCCACCAACTTTCAATAATTAACATCTTCCAAGTAAATTTAAGTTGTATGAAACAATAAAAAGAGGGCCTAGATTAACATGGAAAACATGTATGCTACACTTGAACTGATGCATATCTTCCCTATACTTACTAAGAAGAATATAACTGATTAACTTGAAAGGAGTAGCAATGGAACCCACAAGGAGATAATAGCTTACTAGCTACAAGGACTAGCATTGGCAGATCCTCCAACTAGAGCTTCAGCAAACCCCCTGTTCATTTAAAGACCAAAATTGCAGGCTTGAACAAACTCCATATCATAATCGACGTGTTTTTCCCAGAGTGGCCGGAACTGGCTCATGGCTATATCAAGCCAAGGCTTCATGTTCCCATTGAAATGCACCACTGCGGCATTGCGAATCTCTTCCATACTGATGCTTGGATTATAGCCGAGTCCCAGAACATGCCATGACTTGTCTAGAGGCTTTGTTGTTGAGTAGAATGTGATTAAACCTGGGGGAAGTGTCCCCAATTTCCACAAGCTACGGTTCTCATTCTGCAAGGAGACAACATCCCTAGTTAGTGCTACTCCAATAGACCACCAGTCAATTACACATTTAGAGTTGAATGAACAAAATCAACACAGAGATATCCCGAAACAGAAAACTTAATGTGAATGACATGATAGCATCTAAAAAAGCATTATCAGTAATTTTCCCTTCTGTTTTCACTACAACTAGTGAGACATTCTTTACCATTCCCTAAAACCCTTACTACAAGGCCAACTAGAAGCTGTATGTTTGAAACATAAAAAACTACAAATGCACAGAGTCTGCACAACCTAACATATTCTACAACTTATGCATATATATATATATATACATATCAGATACCACCATATTTATTTGCAAATGTAAGGATTCCGAACAGAAATTTGACCAAGAAGAAAAGTAATCTCTTACCAGATTCTGCCAGTAATGATACTCGGCGGTACAATTCTGCCTTCTCCAAGCATCCAAATCAAAGAAGTTCATTCCATAAGCCCACGCACACGCATTGGGATTGAACTTCTCCTTAATCAAAGGATGTGAGAAATTCATGTACTGAGCATAACGATGGAACGAACCAAAACATGTCTCAACCGCCCCGTTCACCTTCCCATCCATATCAATCTTCCACAAACCAGTTAAGTCCTTCTGAACCACTATATCATCATCCAAGAACAGAATTCTATGCAATTTGGGGTACATTTCAGGCAAATAAAACCTTAAGTGGTTCAGTATAGACAAATACTTGGGATTCCTAAACTTCATGTTTGTTGCGTCTTTGGTTGCATTCTCGAGCTTATTCTCAAAGTAAAACTGTTGCAACTTCGCGTTCTCCAATTGCTTGAGCACCGGCACATATGAAGAATTCAAGAACTTGTAATCCTCCACAGCCTTCACTTCAACATGTGACCCATTATAGTCCTTGCTTTTAAACATAACCTGCATTGCTCCAAGGTTCATCTTATCGGTAACTACATGGAACACATGTTTCCATGGCTCCTTGGCGTTCTTCACTGCCGAATTCACAACCACTGAAGCTGCAATCACATTATCTGAAAATATAGCATAATGGTAAAGATTGGGGTCCTCAATTTCGGGCGGAGTCGGCTTCCCTTCATCAGTATACTTCTCCGGATGCGCAATTCGCTCCTCCATCAACCGCATTGCAACGCAATGCAAGCTTTTGGGGATCGATTTTGCGGCAATCAAGCTGGAGAAAGCTCCTTGCTTCTTGGCCTTCGTCAGCTGCTCGTTCACTTGGAAAATAGTGTCCTTAAGCTTCTGAATCTTTAGCTGGTTATCAAAAGACTCTTTGGCTTCGGCGATCACTTGTCTGGTAACTTTGATTCGCTCTTTCACTTCTTTCTCGAACTGGCGCAGCACTGATTCGTCGATGTTGAGCGCGTCGGAGTCGAAGAGAGCGCGATAAGCAGGCTTGTTCATGAGATCCGAGTAGTTTCGCGAGAGATCGGCGAAGACCCGAACGAGCTTGGAGTTCTCGAGCTTCAGCTTCCGCGCATAGCTAGCGTATGCCAGGGCTAGAGTCCGATGATCGTCTGCTTGCTTTCGGATTTGGTCCAGTCGCGGCTTCAGAGGATCCGATTTCAGAGCAAGCACCGTCCTTCTCGTCGATCCCAATCCGTATGAACCAGAATTGAAACCCTAATTCGCAATTAACAACAAAAGATTACTAATTGCTTCGATTTTTGCAAACTTTTTCTACTAGTCTAGTTCCAGCGGGGGAATGGAAACGAAAATCCAAAAACGATTAGATCCCGAAATGAAAAACATGAACTTGAAACACCATTGAAGCAGAGAATCAGCGAGAATGTGAGAGATGAGCAGAGAACACTTACCAAGTCGGTGAGATCAGAAGTGTCGGTTTGGGAAGTGATGACAAACGAAAGAGAGATGAAAAAGACGACGGCGACTGCAATGGTCATAGCCAGAACACTGAAGGACGCGGTGGAGCTCCGCATGGCTCCTCCTCTGCTGTGGGCAGAGACTCGAAGGTTCGCCATTTTCGATTTGGCTTTGGCTCCTCTGTGTCCGTGAGACTCACACTTCTTCTCTCACTCGGACTCACTCTGGCATGAATTTTGGATTTTTTTTTATAAAAAATTTCCTGTTAATTATTAACTGTAAAACGCGGATCAGCGAGTGCGCCTTGGCGGTGCTTATTAAAATCCCAATAATGTGGGGCCCAGGTTAGGGCTGTTGTTTTTGACTTTTTTCACTTGTTCGTTAGTGGGATTTTGGTGTTTATTAATTAGTTAATTACGCATTTGTGAAAAATAAAAATCAGTTAATTAAGGATGGACCCAATAATGTCAAGTCTCAACTCAAGACACGTTTACCAAATTGTCTACCTTCTTAATATGTGACAGTTAAGTTGCTAATTCACATGGGTTCATTAATTAGTAATTTAGTACTCATTACACATCAGTTCTTACATTTTATCATCAACTAATGTGACATTTAATAGTTTTCTATTGTAAAAAAATTGTTTATTATACCCATGTTGCATACAGGGTTTTTTAGTTTCGGTTTATGCGTTGTTTAGGGTTTTATTTGTTTTCGATGCGAGATAATAGTATTTGATTTCAAATTTGTAACATCTTAATCTTACCGCGTATAATTCCAAAATGCCTTGGATGCTATTGCTCGTATCATTCATCACGTACCATGGCAGTTGGGTGCACAACCACTCCCATATGATTTTATTGCAAACAAGAGCATGCCATGTGACTTTTTTTTTCTGTAGCCCAAGGGCACTCCATTATTAGAAGAACATACTCCTAACTCCATTATTAAAAAGGCGAGGCTACTTTACTAAAGAGAGAAATGGTGGTCTCTTCTTTTTACCTAGAGAAATATCAGAGAGCTAGATCTACACGGTAATTAAAGAGCTCTAATTAGGTAGGATCTAATTGCTATGGTAAAAAAAAGGGGGAATGATATTTTCAAGCCGTTGAAAGAAAAGCCACTAGCTAAAGTTGTGGGGTCATTGATGAACCCTAATCTCAAACTGGTCATCGTAGTAGGGTTATAGTAGGTTAAAGTACATGATGAGTTGACTCTTTTAAGAAACTTTAGGTGGAAATAAATTGGTAACCTAGAAATGAGTCAGATGGATGGAAACAGAGGAACAATCTTATCTTATAGTTAATTTGTGGAAGCCAATTTATATCATAAAACAAAGGGACATATTTACTTGTGGCACTCTTACTCAAATACACATCATTGCTACTTGAATTTAGCATGCATTAACCAAAGTAAATCTAAAAATCTAGTTAAATCAATGGTACCCCTTCTTCCCATGCTTGGTGACATGGTGCAACCATCCAAACCCTTTGAGGGCCTTGGAAAACTTGACAAGATTAGGCCTCCCCATGCCCAAATTCATCTTCCCTGCTGAGAATTTCAATGCCTGCAAGCAGCATAATTGCCCATCAAATTCTTCCTCTTCCTCTCCATCATCCTCCTCCTCAACCTTTCCATTCTTGCCCTTCTTTGACTTGCCTTTTCCTTTCATAGCTTTAATTGATTCTGTCTCATCATATGTCTCCCAAAGCATGTCCATGCCCTCACCTCCACCTTCCACATTGTGATGTCTCTCCTCAAAAAGCTTGCAAGCCAGTGTCCTCCTCCACTCTTTCTCTTTCCTCATTGAACCAAAACTCCCAAGATTTGGACCCATTAGCATTTGAGAGTCGTCCATAACTTTAATGTTGTCTTCTCCAAAATTTGCTCCTAGCCTTTGGGAATTTGACATGGATTTGGAAGTAAATTGATCTCCGTCATAATCAGCATTCACTTCACAAAAACTTGTTTTGCTAACCAAATCCTTGGATGCTCTTCTCATGGACCTTTTTTCTTTTCCATCTTCATCAACTTTATTGGACAGTGTGCTTGCTGGCTTGACTTCTTTCTCTTCCTTGAAATCTTTTGACCAATTCTCCTCTTGAAAGAATGCTGCCAATGTCTCCACTCTTGGCCAAGCAATAACCTCAGCTGGGTTTTCATCTAAAACATCACTTGCAGCTTCCAGTGGAGCAGAGATGGCATTGCCTTCATGGCTGGACACATCATCAACTGGTGCTTCAGAGACTTGTGAGCAGATTTCTTCAACTGGGTTCTCACCAATCTCGAAACTAGACGTATCAAACACAATCTTATACACTTCAAGCTCTTCGAAAGATCGAAACTCTTCGTGATCATGATCATCACCAGCACCATCATCTGCTTTAGACTTCTGCAGTCTTTCCAAAACAGTTTGGTAAGTGGTCACAAGACAACCAACTTTGATGCTGGACAATTCGGAATTCGCAACGGTGTCTTGGACAAGAGGGGGAGAGACAGTGAGGTAAGCCAGGACAAGAAGCGCAGTGGTGATGAAGAGAGGAGACAGAAAAGAAAGGAGCTTGAGGAGGTATGGTGAGAAGAAAATGAAGTAGGAGAAGTAGAGAGGGTGTGACAAAATGAAGAAACAAACATTGAAGAAGTCAGCAAGAAGAAGACTAGAGAATTTAGTCTTCTTGGAAGTGTTTGATGAGAAAGAAAATTCAGACATTTTGATGGTGGTGTTGGGGTCTAAGGGAGGAAAGAAGCAAAATGAGAAGGATAGATAGTGATATGGTGAACAAGGAAAGCTTTGGTGTTTTTGTGTTGAGTAAGAAGAGAGAAAAGTGTGAAATTGGAAGTGAGAGCGGCGTGAATAAAGGAGAGATAGACTGGGAAATGATATTATGAGAGTGAGAGATTAACTAGCAGCAAGCTAATAACAATACCAAAAAGCAACTTTAGAATTCAGATTAATCAAAAGAAAGGGAGAGAAAGAAAACATGTTTGGAAACTTTTCTTTGCTTTTTCTTTCCCATCCACAACCACCCAATTATGTATGTACCATGTCCAAAATTTGGATTTACCAAATTGACCCTCTCTTCTTGAAGCCCTTCTCAATTTCAATGGTGGGATCTTTGCACAGATACAACTTCTCAACAATGATCATTACTTTTCTATAATTATCACATGCACATAGTTATATGGATGTAGTAGGATTGTTTAAATATTTATACGAAATTAGCTTGCTAGTAGCTACTTGCTACCAATGATTTTGGCAATAAAAACTTGGTTGGCCTCCTAAATTATGGAGCAGTAAAAGTCATTTTTTATCTGTGTATTTTGTCGGTTTTATATCAGTTCGGTTTCCGTAGTTTCAATTTTGTCAATTTAAAAGATGGATTTTACCCGTTTTTATATTAAGTAGTATTTTAGGCTAATTAATCAAGCTTGCTACAGTTTAACTAGCATCCTATGCATTCTCCATTATTACACCAACTCATCATCAACCACTTTTGTTTAGTTACTACCAATTTTTTTCTTTGAAACCAAGTCATTGGATTGAAGTCAATCTAATGGGGACAGGGTCAACAATGTAAATAGAGGATGAAGAAAATACATATAGGTGGTTGAGGGGGGGGGGGGGGGAAAGCAGCAATTATAATCTATGAAAGGCGAGAAGAAGAAGAAGAAGAAGAGAAGAAGAAACAGAGGGGGTGATTGAGGAGTTGGGTGTTGTTGCACATGGGAAATCACTCATGGTCACTCAAGTGCATGCCATGCAATTGCATTTGCATCCTTTCTTTTCTTGGTCTTCTGCCTTTCTCACCTCTCAAGGGACCCATCTTTGTCTCGTCACTCTTCTGGATCATCAAATCAGGGGCACCGACAGTCATTTACCACATTCTTACTCTTTCATAGCTCAAGTTTTGACCAGTAAATCAAGTTTTATTTGGTATTGAACAGAGCAAAGTTACCCAAAAGAGAGAGTAAGCAAAGGAAAATTGAGTACAAAATTTAGGTTCCCCTTCGAGGATTGTACAATTTATGTGCCAATTTGTGTTTTCACCATCTAAATTTGCGTTGGTGTAAGTATGAGACTTCTTCTGCAAAGGATAATGAGTCTCATTCATTGGATCCTTGCCCAGTTGTGCTTGAATAGTAATGATAGCTTCGTACAAGCACTCTGAATTGTGCTGGAGTCACTCAGTCTCTCTTAGTGTTATGCGGTTTAGGGTTTAGTACATTCATGTTATAACATGAGTTTTCTTTTTTAATGTTATACCTTACATAAACTCATCGTGCACTTATATTATAACAATGTATCGTAGTGTGACTGTCACACTCAAAAATCTTTCACATTATTGCCAATGTGTCAAATGTTCATGCGAACTAAAAATTTATATTTTCCAACTCTAATGTACAAGAATTAAATGCCCTCTTTCTCACCAACCACGAGGGTTAAGGGAAACAATTCTAATGATGCATACACACATGTATTTTTATCGAAATTTTTTTTAATGTGACAGTCATATCAACACATATATTACAAATCCATATGGTATAATATGAGTGCAAATTATGGTTAAACAACACTATTCTTTATTATGACTCATTAATTCATCTAAACTACACTGATATGTGAACAAATCTGATAACGTGCTATTATAGGTTTAAATATCTTCCAATTAATTTTATCAAGCTAAATTTGATTATAATTAATGTTTCATATTTAAAATTGGGTGTATTGAGAAATTTTAAGAGTCTCTTAGTCATGACAGTTTTATAAGTGCTACTAAACGAACCCCACCTTATGATGTAAGTACACTTTAATATTTAAATCAAATTGTAAAATTAACTAAGTACACCTTATTTAGCTACCAAAAATACCTTAATACACTCTAATACAATCTATCACAATTCAATATATTAAAATTACATTTGTTTTAAATGTAATTTAAAATCTGTTTGCTATGCCAAGTCAAATGTTTGTGTGCTTCCACCCAATTGTGAGAGTTCGCTATGCTAAAATTTTGCTTTGGCAATGGATAAAATCTGATTCCTATTAGGCTGCTCTACCGCTGCATCATGCATTGGTACATAGGAGCTAGTGGATGCTTGGGCTTTGAACCTTCTCTTTCTATCTTAGCAGCTACAACACAAATAACGTGTAAGAAATATGCTTTTTGTAACTTTGAACCTAATACAATTGCAGAAGTTTGCAAAAGTTTGAGTTTTCTGAGTCTCAACTGCTCAAGAATTTTTTGAGTCTTTATTGGGATATTTGATGCTTTCTGTTTCAAAAAAATGGTGGTAGTGGTGGAGGAAGAGGAAGAAGAAAGGGCCCTAAACCCAAGAAGAGCCTAGGTGGTTGATGATGGTGGTGGTTTTTGAAGTGTGTATGGTCTTATTGGAGAGAAGAGGAGGCTTGAAAAGCGATGGACGTTGATAAGTGTTTGTTTGCCTATTTCCCTCATCGCTTTGCCATTTCGGGGCTATTTTTTATTAAAATTTGGGTGTACTCATTAAAATTATATTTATTTCACAATTTAATATATATATTTTTAATCATTTTACATTAAAATAAATTAATAATTTAATAAATAATTTGACAGTAAAATATACTAAATTAATTTAAGTTTCGTTTAACACCACTCTTTTTTTGTTTTCGACTGGCTTGTCCGACCAAGACCAATATCCGAGAACAAAAAAATCTGCAAAAACCTGAGACAAAATGGAAAAAGAGGAAAATAAGAAAAGGTGGCGGATACATACATGAGATTAAGTACATATAATATTCTATTTCCCTGGCTCACCCCAGGCAAGCTCATTTTGCGTTTTCCAGGGATTTAACTCTCGCCAACTCACTGAGTCACTCCGACTCGCCGCGTTCTCTACGCCTTCCACAACCGACCACCACATTCTCTGCCTCTGCCTCTTCCTCTTCCTCCGCCACCTCAGGTAAAAAGGAAATGACTTTCTCTTTCAAATGGCTTTTTTCTTTTGTTTTTGATTGTTTTTGTCTTTTGCTTCATGGATGGGGGCCACTCTGAGCTTGTTTACTGGGTTTCTGGTCATGGGCATTTTTTGGGTTTATGAGCTCAAATGCACAAAAGGGCTCTTCATTTCTGCATTGAATCTGCCATTTGTGAGAGTCTTGTTTTTATGTTTTGGCTATGGTGGGTTGGGGGAGTTGACCTAGATTTCCAAGGTCAGACATTAGGAATTTTTTAGTTATGTAGATGCTTTAAAATATATATATATATATATATGGATTCTTTCAATTTTATTCCCATTTTTACACGATGGGTTGCTATATCCAACTTCAAGATGACTGAAATTTATTGTCACCATGCACTAGTTACAGTCATTCCATTTGGGACCAATTTTAGATTGCATAACCATCAAAGCATTTTTTTCTCTAGTCACTTTAATCGAAGGCACAAAAAGGGTTTCAACTATCTGGGGAAGTTATTATTAATTTTTCCCTTATTTTTAAATAATATCGTTCTGCTGTTGTGAAATTTCTGAGTCACTTAGCTACATGTACTTGCATCCTAGCTTCTCACAACTATACACACTACAATTTCCAATTCTTTATAGATTTTTTTTTTTTAGATTACTTTTGGGGTGATCAAACCATTTGAAGTTGAAATGCACTTTTAGATAATGTAGCTAGTTGGTAGCTTTTTTATCCTGCTCACTATAAGTACTAGTTTCATTTGGCAAGCCTTTAACGTTCAGAATAATACTTATGAACTTAGTTGCTGAATGGTAAAAGTAACCTGTTCCTCTGAAATTCATCGTCCTTTAATGCTCTTTCTATAGCTACTTGCATTCTGTTTTGATTTCCTTGTTCATATTTATATATCTAGTGTTTGTAGATTAGAGTACTTTAAATTGTTCTGACAAAACTGTAATCCTTCAATGACTTGTTACCACTTGAAACTCAAACCTATATATTTTTGCATTGGTATAATTAGTCTGTTTGTTTATCCAAGGAATGACATGATTCGTGAGGAAGGCCACCAAGTGAGCTCTCTACATCCATAATATTGAAGCCATGGTGAGCATAAGAAGAAGCAAACGCTTGAGACTACGCGCTGGTAAAAGTTGCTGAAATGTGCTATATCACATATGAATAAGTTTGGGCCTATTCATACTAATTTTAATATCTGTATAAATCACCTCTCAATAGGTTCTTAATCAGTGACAAGGAGTTTTCTGATGCTTGATATACTAGGTTCTTGTTTATTATTTAAGCTGTTTAGCTTAGTGTTTAGCATGCTTATTAATTGGAGTTTTCTGCTGTATAACTCACATGTCAGCGAGTTGATTTTTCTAAAAAAAATTTAGTGAATAAAAATATGATTGAATAGGTTCTTTTTTATTTATTCACCAAATTGTACGTCTTTCCAGAGAGTTCTGTTCTAGCTCCAGTGCCGAGGTTTTGTGACAAGGGAACTGCTCCTCAAAATTCTACACAAACAAAACCAGATAGTGTGCAGTCAATTCCTTCAAATGATGCGAACCTGCCGGAGGGGGTAAGAATAGATTACCAATCTGTCCATGTTATTGTGTCACATGCATCAGAGGGACCATTCTTTTCTTTAAAGGTTTTGTCTACTGATTAAAGACACTTGTCAGGGTTCCTAAAGTTAAAGAAAATCACCTGTAGGATGATAACTCCCATCCTGATTTTGTCCAGAAACAGTTCAAGATTTGTCATTATATAACTAAATTTTTAGAGCACTTGTACGAAAATAACTGAAAATTTTTGGAGGAAAAAAAATTTGATATGATACATCTTCTGGTGTTTTGGCTAAAATTAGAAAATAATACCTTTTTGTTTCTTTGTCATGGTTGGTTCTGAAAACAACTGCTTATGTTCCTGTACTATGGCGCTTAGTTCCTAGTTCCTTGATATAGAAGGTTAGAGAGCATGTTCCTGCTCTATTCTTTGTTATGCCTACTTAGTTTGTCCGAATTAATTAAAACAAAGCAGAATAAAGAAATCTAAAACTCTATTTTGGAAGAACCAAATTGCTTTCTCTAGCTAGTTTTCTTTGTGTGAAGTACTCAGATATGATCAAAACACAATGTATTAATGTGTAAAATAATTACTAAGAGGTTTATATGCCAAAATAAATTATTTCCAGAATGCGACTCATACAAGGGCTTCCTCTGAGATTATCAGTGTGTTGAGAGAGCCAGCTGTAGCAGAGAGAGTTTTGCTGGGCTTACTTGGCCCTGATGATACCAGGATTATGCAGGAGTACAATGACGATGGTTTGAAGCAAAACTTATCCCACCATGCCCTTGCTGTAAGTGATTGTCCTCAAGATTTCATTGCCTTACCATTTCTGTGTTGATCTGAATAATTTAATTTTGCTACTATGTCAATTATTTCAGGCCTGCCAACACTTTGCCATGTGTCTAAGGGAGAATGGAGAGTCTTCCTTGGCCTCCAGGGAGGGCAATGAAGCCAGAGCTCATGTTGCAGAGCTGGAGGAAAGATTTAGATATGTTGAGGAGATTCTGAGGCATCATGTCCAAGAATATGAGTCTAAGCTGAATGGCCTGCAAAATAATGTTGATCAGCTGAGGCAGAAGGCTGATTTCTGCGAGAGGAAATGGAAGGAGCAGGAGGCCTTGCATCAGGAGAAGGCCACTCGTTTGGAAGAGGTTTTGGGGCAGCTTGAGGAAGCTAACTCCAACCTTGCCAAAGTCACTCAAAGTCATGACATGGCCAGAACACGTATCGAAAAGCTGACTGGTGCCCTCACTCTAAACAGGAAGCTCTACAATCAGGCTGAGGTTGAAGTGAAGAAGTGTCAGCAGGATTGTGAAATGGATAGGATCCTTGGGGAAATAGAGAAGGATGAGCGTGCGAAAAAAAGGATTGCTCTGACCACCGAGCTCAAGCTGAATGAGGACTTCCAAAACCAAAACCAGAAGAAGGAAGGTGGGGTCATCCCAACGCTGGAGCAAAACAAAGATGTTAGTAAGCAGGTCATAGAGGCCAAAGACGTCGATGGAGAAGTGGAGGCCCATAATCCTTCAACGTTCTGGACAGTTTGCAGTAGCTGCAAATATCAATATGAGTATGGCAGGGTTTATGTAAATTGTCATCTCCGCTGCAGTAGATGTCGAGCAGGTTTTCTGGCTTTAGAAATTTGTCGACCACCTCCAATTGTTAAGTCATCCAGTAACTCTTCTGACCAGCAACATCGGAGTTCAAGACACCTTGTTGATACGGGAAGTTAAGTAACTGCTAGTGGCAAGCCCTCGTATCCTGGAGCGGTCTCCCCAAAGGGCCTTGGAGGAAGCTGAAAACCAGCACAGACCTGGATGGAGAGGGATCCGATGATGCATTCCAGGATGAAGAAGCGGAGGCTCCCGGTGCTCTATCTTTGAGTTGGTTTAGAATGAGCAAAAAAGAGAGAGGGCGAGGGAGTAGAGGAGGGAGGGTTACATATTTCGGAAACTTTTTTGTTTTCTTGGCCGATCTAACTAACGACAACGCTCTCCTAGCAATGCCCTTTTTGTATGGTCAACTAACAAAGCCCTTTTTTATTACACTATTAGTGGGATCACAAATACAACTACAGTATCATCAAATATCTGTCAACACAAAAATATGCCATCTTCAAGTTTTCATGTTTTTTCATAAATAACTTTAACTTTTCTACATGTTTAGAGTTACTGTGACTAATTAATTCATCCGAAATACACCGATCTGTGAACAGATTTCATATTTAAAATTGGGTGTATTGAGAAATATTAAAGAGTCTCTTAAACCAAACGTCGTGGCATGTTTTTTTTTTGGCGTGGGTTTTCCGACCGAGACCAATCTCCGAGAAAAAAAACATCTGCAAAACACTGACACACAAGATGGAAAAAGAGAAAAATGAAAAGAAAAAAAGGTGGCAGATACATGAGACAATAATATTCTATTTCCCTTGCTCGCCCCAAGCAAGCTCATTTGCCTTTTTCCAGGGGTTTTACTTTCACCAACTCACTGAGTCACTCTGTCTCGCCGCGTTCTCTACGCCTTCCACAACCGATCACCATCTTCTCTGCCTCTGCCTCCGCCTCCTCAGGTACAAAGGAAATAACTTTCTCTTTCCAATGTATATAATGTGTTTTCAAAAAAACACACCCACACATAAATTTTATGCCCCCGCATCAATTTTTTCTATTTACCCACCCCCCCCCCCCCCCAAAAAAAAACAGCCTTTTGCTTGATGGATGGGGACCACTCTTAGCTTGTTTACTGAGTTTCTGTTCATGGGAATGTTTGGGTTTATGAGCTCCGAGGCACAAAAGGGCTCTTCATTTTTGCATTGAATCTGCCATTTGTGAGACTCTTGTCTTTATATTTTGGCTATGGTGGTGGGGTGGGGGGTTGACCTAGCTTTCCAAGGTCAGACATTAGGAATTTTTAAATTATGCAGATGCTTTATTTATTATTATTTTTTTTAATAAAAAAAGATGGATTCTTTTAATTTTATTCCCATTTTTACATGATGGGTTGATTTTGGTTTGCCTATATCCAACTTCAAAATGACCGAAATTTATTGTCACCGTGTACATGATGGGTTACAACCCATTTGGGGCCAATTTTGGATTGTATAACCATCAAGTCACTTTAATCAAGGCCACAAAAGGGTTTCAAGTATTTTCCCTTATTTTAAAATAATGTCTTTCTGCTGTGTGAAAGTTCTGAGTCACTTAACTACATGTATTTGCATCCTAGCTTCTCACAATACATACTTCAATTTCCAGTTCCTTATAGATTTTTTTATAGATTACTTTTGGTGTTTCCAATTGAAAAGTTGAATTACGCTTTTAGATAATGTAGCAAGTTGGTAGATTTTTGAGATTACTACTTTCATCTGACGAGCATTTAACCTTCAGAATAATACGTATGAACTTAGTCGCTGAATGGTAAACACAACTTCTTCCTCTGAAATTCATTGTCCTTTAATGCTCTTTCTATAGGTACACGCATTCTGTCGTTGATTTCTTTGTTCATATTTATATATCTAGTGTTTGTAGATTAGAGTACTTTAAATTGTTCTGAAAAACTTGTGTTGTCCTTCAGTGACTTGTTCCTACTTGAAACTCAAATCTGTATATATTCCATCAGTATAATTAATTAATCTGCTTGTTTATGCAAGGAATAACGTGATTCACGAGGAAGGCCACCAAGTGAGCTCTTTGCATTCGTAATATTGAATCAGCCATGGTGAGCTTAAGAAGAAGCAAACGCATGAGACTTTGCACCGGTAAAAGTGGCCGAAATGTGCTATATCACATATGAATAAGTTTGGGCCTATTCGTACTAGTTTTAATCTGTATAAATCACCTCTCAATAGGTCTTAATCACTGACAGGAGTAATCTGATGCTTAATACACTAGGTTCTTGTTTATGCTTTAAGCTGTGTAACTTAGTGTTTAGCATGCTTATGCATATGAGTTTTCTGCTGTGTAACTCACCTGTCAGTGAATTGAGATAAATTTTCAATTTTTGTGAATAAGAATCTGATTGAATAGGTTCTTTTTTATTCTTAAGTATATTCACCAAATTGTAGGTCTTTGCAGAGAAAAGTTCTGTTCTAGCTCCACTGCCATGGTTTTGTGACAAGGGAACTGCTCCTCAAAATTCTACCCAAACAAAACCAGATAGTGTGCATTCAATGCCTTCAAATGATGTGAATCTGCCGGAGGGGGTAAGAATGGATTACCAATCAGTCCATGTTATTGTTTTACAAGCATCAGATGGACCATTCTCTTCTTTAAAGGTTTTGTCTCCTTGTTAAAGACACTTGTCAGGGCTCCTAAAGTTAAAGAAAATCATATGTAGGATGCAAACTCCCATCCTGATTTTGTCCAGAAACAGTTCAAGATTTGTAGTTATAAAACTATTTTTTTAGAGCACTTAAGCAAAAATAACTGAAAGACTTTGATGAAGTAAACATTTGATATGATTCAGCGTCTGGTGCTTTGGTTAAAATAAGAAAAGAATACCTTTTTGTTTTTCTGTCATGGTTGATTCTGAAAGTAACTGCTTATGTTTCTGTACTGTGGCGCTTAGTTCCTAGTTCCTTGATATAGAAGGTTAAAGAGCAGCATGTTCCTGCTCTATTCTTTGTTATGGCTAATTAGTTCACCCGAATTGATTAAAACAAAGCCAAAGAAAGAATCTAAAACTCTATTTTGGAAGAACCAACTTGTTTTCTCTGGCTAGTTTAGTTTGTGTGAAGTACTCAGATATGATCAAAACACAATGTATTCATGTGTAAAATAATTACTAAGAGGTTCATATGCCAAAATTATTTATTTCCAGAATGCGACTCATACAAGGGATTCCTCTGAGATTATCAGTGTGTTGAGAGAGCCAGCTGCAGCAGAGAGAGTTTTGCTGGGCTTACTTGGCCCTGATGATACCAGGATTATGCAGGAGTACGATGATGGTGGTTTGAGGCAAAACTTATCCCACCATGCCCTTAGTGTAAGTGATTGTCCTCAAGATTTCATTGCCTTACCATTTCTGTGTTGATCTGAATAATTTAATTTTGCTACTATGTCGATTATTTCAGGCCTGCCTCCACTTTGCCATGTGGCTAAGGGAAAATGGAGAGTCTTCCTTAGCCTCCAGGGAGCGCGATGAAGCCAGAGCTCGTGTTGCAGAGCTGGAGGAAAATGTGAGGAATGTTGAGGAGATTCTTAGGCATCAGGTCCAAGAGTACGAGTCTAAGGTGAATGGTCTGCAAAATGATGTTGATCAGCTGAGTCAGAAGGCCGAGTTGTGCGAGAGGAATTGGAAGGAGCAGAAGGCCTTGCATCAGGAGAAGGACACTCTTATGGTAGAGGTTTTGAGGCTGCGTGAGGAAGCTATCTCTGAGCTTGCCAAGGTCACTCAAAGTCATGACATGGCCAGAACACGTATCACAAATCTGACTGGTGCCCTCACTCGGAGCAGGAAGCTCTACGAGCAGGCTGAGGTTGAAGTGAAGAAGGTTCCGCAGGACTGCGAAATGGATAGGATGCTTCGGG